CGATATATTTGTCTCTACCATGTGCCTTTTCGAAAATATATCCTGTATTTTATATATCTTGATGTAAATCCTAACCTGCATTTCGTGACATCGTTCTGAACACTTTTTAGTAAGAAGTGAAGTTTAAGGGCAGTATCAAACATGACGTCACGATTTCAAGGTCTAGTCATTTCTCCGCTCAGACAGACTATACCCACAACATTTTTAATACAACGGGCCATAAATATCGGTTTTATTGCTGGACGTAGTCTGGGGGACTATAGCGAGAAAATCCCTGTGTGTGTATGAAGGGTATCTTAATTTAACACCCTTCACTATAACGCAATGAAGTTCTGTCGCCTAAGATAAAATTAATCTAAAGTAAACTGTATATAATAACGTTGGACGTAGATAGACTGTTGTTTAATTGCAAATGATTACCATCCCTTCCTTCGGGAGAGATGAACAGGAGAGATTAATGAATTTTCCGAAGATAAAATTCCATCTCTTGTCCCCATCTTCAAATTTCATACGCAGTAAGAAACAAGAAATAACAACAAATATTTACTGAAATGCTCTAACGAAAGAACTGTTTAGGAGACAATGTACATTAAACTAACTAACTAGATGGCTTACCGAACCCGAAGGTTCATCACCGAATTAACCAAAGCCCTCCACCGGACCCTGTCCTGGGCCAACAGAATCCAGTCTCCTTCAACTCCTATCTCCCATAGATCCCGCTTGAGATTATCCTCCCATCTACGTCTAGGTCTCCCCAGAGGTCTCTTCCCCTCAGGCTTCCCGAACAATACCCGGTGCACACCTCTTGTCCCATCCATGCGCGCTACATGTCCCGCCCATCTCATTCTTCTCGACTTAATCACCCTGACAATACTGGGGGAGCAGTACAGATTTTTAAGCTCGTCATTGTGCAGTTTTCTCCACGCCCCATCGTCTTCCCTCTTAGGCCCAAATATCCTCAACACCCGATTCTCAAACACCTGCAATCTGTGTTCCTCCCTCTGAGTGAGAGACCATGTTTCGCACCCATACAAAACAACTGGCAAGATTATTGTTTTGTATACTTTAATTTTAATGTATAATGTACATTAATATTATTAAAATGAATTTTAAATGAAACAGGTGTAAAAATGTGAATTATACCAAAATGAATATAAATTCTATATAATGCCATATTTTTTATGAATACAATCAATTTTCTGGTTTAGAAAAATTACTAAATAAAGATATATCACGCAGACAATGAAATAAATTAAATTGACATAATCTTATGACATTAAAGGGACCAAGGCAATTAAAATTGCTAACGATTCACGTATATACATTGTTTAAATATATCTCTAAGTACGTAAATATTCACTGTTCAGGTAATCAGACCCGACAGTCTCTTATTTAAGCTTACACGTCTAAATTCTATATCAGTACGCAGACTACCTCTTACGAGTCGTAATTATTATTATTTTATCGTAATGAAACTGGACTTTCGATCTTAAACTTGCCAACTTCAGAAACATTTGAAATCCTCAGAGAAAAACCAAACCATTATCAACAACTGCATCTAGTCGCCATGGATGAAACAAATAATTATATAAAAAACGTAATAATTATCTTACGCATTTTTAACAATTATACTAAGAAAATACGGAAAATATATTTCCAAAAGGCACAGTATTACAATTACGTAACATCACCTCTAAATAACCTTTGTTCCATGGCGGCGAAACGTGGGCTATAAACGAGAGATATGCCCAAATGGGACTTTAAAATCATTATTATGTATTAAATCACAGTCATCAATGGAAATCTAATATTCACGTCACATTAACAGAGAACAACATGTTAGAAAGCATATATTAGCAACAGATAAACCTTTCAGACCACCTGAATTGAAGGAATATGAACCACTTATCGAAATTAGCCCTCGACTACCACCCTTGGGGACGACGTGATACGGTAAGACCTAGAAGCAGATGGAAAGACGAAGAAAACTTTGGGTTTTAAAGGAAAATGTCTTGAGACCTAATCCTTGATTACGTTCACGATGATAACGACGATACTGTTGGGGTAACAGGACTCCAGTGTTGCCACTGGGTACAAAAAATTAAAATTTCCCCATCACACCAAGAATTAAACCCTGGGTTGCGTGACATTTGGGACATACTGTTGTTGAATCATCACTGGTTATCAAAATCCTAATCTGACTTTCAAAATGTTAGGTCGGATGTCTCCATTTTTGCCGTGCCATATGGTGTTATTGATATATATGTTAATTCCTTTGTGTGCTGTGGTATATGGTTAACTCAACAGACTCCAAATTATAAAGATATCCATTCACACACCTGACTAACGGTGTATTAAATTTCAAATGACAAATGTCAAGTTCACGAATACACGATAGAAAAAAAAAAGACGAATTGTAATTAAATTATTTTCTTTCGTATATTAATTAACGACCACATTAAATTCCACGAAATCTTAATTACACCAAGTTTAAAGTAAACAAAATGCGTACAATAATGTTTAATTAAATTAAAATTAAAACAGAATGAGGGATTCATGGCGAGTGGGTCTGACTTTTCTGACTTTTCAGAGGTCCCTGCTGCCTCCATCATCAGGGATCTGACGAGACATGAGCTATAAAACGTCGGTAAACTTCAGCACAGAATTTCTTTGCGGAAAATTGTTGAAAAACGTTGAATATTCCTATTATTGTATGAAGAGTCGAATGTAGCTTTAAAAGATTATGGTAATTATAATAAGCAGTATCAGTGAACACTGACTGAAACAGTTGAATCGACATTCGGAGTTCACGTCACTACCGAAAAGAAATTATATTTTTCAGACCTTAAAATAGTAGAGAAGTATATAAAACTATATTTTAAATACATTATATTATATGAATTCTTCAGCAAACTCCATTGCATAAATCCACAATCGAATAATACACGTTATTCATATTACATCATCGAATATCTGAAGATTAAATTTGTTTTAAAAACTAAAAAGATCTCTAACATTGTCAATGTATGATTAAAGTTGTCCTTGACATTTGAATGTTCATATACTTTCATGTTACGATCGGAATGTTCTTTACAGATTTTAAGTAATTTAATATTTTATTTGCTCTCATACATTTTACGTGTTTAAAACTTTTATATCTTTTAGCCAACAGCAAGCCTTCACAAATATGGACCTAGGCGTAATGTTCGACGTAATGACACACCCACGTCTCGTATTATTCAACATGAATCACTGCAATAACGCGAAACATTTTTTATTGCCAGGAATGAAGATTCGAGATCACAGTTAAAGTTGGAAAGTTATTCCAAAGTATACGACCAGCAGAATTATCATTATCTCATATGTAACGGTATTCTAACCTATGTTGTTCGAAATTTATAAGATAATTTATTTTAACGTTCACGACGATTTTAAACATCACTACAGACTCCTTAGTAATTCAATATCGACAATTCTCTGAACGTAGTACGTCGCTGAATACTTTAAAAAGAAACTACAACGTTTTGTAATAACCTATTCTATTGGATCTGACAGAAGAAATAGTTTAATTATACATTTTCTACTATCGGGACCCAATATAATAGATATTTTAATTACTAACTATTTATTAATTAAACAAATTAAAAAGAAATCATGGTAACAAATATGGCCTGCGATAGCCAATAAAATGAGTCCGAATTGCAAAGTCTTATTAGCCCCCCCCCCCAAAACTTATATTGAACCGATATCTTATCGATAATTTTTTCTGAAATTATTAACGAATATTTTCTGGAGGTGATCTAACTACATTTAAAATTCAATTTCACAGGTGATTATGCCTAAAATATCAGGGTAATAATAAATTACTCTACGCCCTGATGATGGAAGCAGAAAGAACATCCGAAACATCGACAAACTTCTACCAGACCACAAGGCACATCAACCCGGAACATACTCGATGCAATTAAAACGTGTTTTGATACAAATTAATCCATGATAATAAATATTAATACGATAAAGGATAATTATGACGATATAAACAAACGAACACTATTATAAACATCATAATTGTTATTGTCTGGAATGTTTTCGACTGAGAAATGAGAAACGAAAAATTACAAAGATAAATTCAAAAAAGTAACACGCACTGTAGGATAATCCTGCATCTGTTAGTAAAAGCCAGATAACAAAATGACATATGGACCAATAAAAAAAACTTAACTCAATGAATTATATCTCAAGAGATCGAACAGACAGATTAGTATCGATGATAAATGCGTTAGAAAAACAAAACCATATGGCGTGTACTAGTTCGATATGTGCAAATAAAATGTAAGAACTAAATTATCCCAACAGTAAACAGATGTACGGAAAATTACAGAGATTCAAACTGACAAAAGGTGAAACAGAGAAATTTAATACAAAAATGGTTTCCAGAATTAAAGAGGTAATTTCGAGTGTAAAATGTTGGCACAACACTGACAGTATTTCCAACCGTTGCGACGCTACGAACGTTTTAATACGTTCAAAAAAATTCTTATTTGTGATTGACACACTGGTGATGATTTAGGGTGAAGAAACCTGATGATGGAAGCAAAATATTTCTCCGAAACGTTACTGTCACCGAATTTAATGCAGTTTGATTCGGTTACAATTATTTTGATAATGTTGATACCATGCTACAGTAACCCAATAAAGTACTTAAGATACTCTTACAAAATTCTGACTGTGATTTTAAGAATTCAGTACTTCGTTCATCTGCTTTCAAAAATAAACACGTAATTTTAAGGTACGTAAATCGGAGAATAATATTATGTTTGAGGGCGTGGATTGGATTCAATGGCTGTTGAAACAGGTGGAACAATTCCTTGCGTTTCTGTTTCAAACGGTAGATGATCCTGTTAAAATACGTCATATCAGAGGACTGGGTTTCAAGAAATGTTAAAATCAGACGTTGTAACAAAACAGAATGTTGTATAAATGTGATGGGGCTAATTTACCTGTAACCTTTATGGCCTGGAGTCGAGAGACGACAAGGATCGGAGAATTCCATATAAGGCTCGCAAGCCATACCATTACAATCATCTTGTACGCGTGAAACTGGGTCTGCCATCGTCGCGACTTCAGAGGCCGACAGATGGCGAAGTAGCGCTCCAGAGAAATCGCCACCAGAGTCCATACTCCCACGGAAACTGACACCGCTGGAACAGAAGAAAGGAGTTCTTTTTTCACACAGACCTGACCGATACAATTTTATTGCATTAACAAACATAAAGATTTATCGCCTCTCACACCACATCCAAAAATACCTTTCGCAATTTTAACAACCAGCAACACGATATGGCCATTTTGAAGTAAACCCGTTTAATTTTTTAATTTAGTGTTCTGTCTGAGGACAGGTCCATATGAACAGGATCCTTCCATCCTTTTCTCGGACTGGGACCTGTTCATATACGTTCTTGGCAGATGATCCAGAAGTGGTTTGCCATTGCCTTCTTCTGTGTGTGAATGGAGTAATTGTTGGGAGGCCACGGAGGAAAACTCCGTGTTGCCAAGACCACGGCCTTGCCCAACACAAGTGATAAATTCGAACCCGAGATTGTTGGGATGCCACGGAGGAAAACTCCGTGTTGCCTAGACCACGGCCTTGCCCAACACAAGTTATAAATTCGGGCACCGCCGGGAATCGAACCCGAGACCCCAGGATTACAAGGCCAGCGTTCTAATCGCTAGACCACCGTGGCTTAAGAATGGTAAACCCGTTTACCATTCTTAAATTATTCTGTCAGGATTTTATTTTGGACTTGACAATATAGGCGTTCATATACGTTAACCACGCTTTAAAAAATGTCGCACTTATTATAAAATCCGCCATTACAATCATGATTGGGATCAATAACATTATTACAGTGACTCTCGGGCGGAAAAAAAAATGCACGCAGATGAGACAGACAAATGGAATTGTAAATTATTTGTCTTCATCATCCACGAATTGTGATTGGTGTCCACAGAGACCAACCCGTACTCCATGTTTTTGACACTCGGTCGATAAAAATTCATATGACACGTTCGTTCAGAACACGAAATTACTAATTTTTAACGCTCGTCGGGGAGTGTCAACGGTTTGAAGGGATCAGTGGTGCAACAGCAAACGCGTTATAATTGACGGTAGTTGATCCACTCTTATCTGAACACAGAGCGTAGTCATAAGACAGTTATTAGAAAACAAATTGGCATTGGTTTGGTTAGGTTAGGTTAGATTCCATGTTACGAGCGGGTAAAAAACACCGTGTTTCGTTGTATAGATGCCACATACACGTCAGGGTTAATTATATTCAGTCACAACGCAAAATATCGCCGTTAAAACAATTTATCTATCGATCCACGTCACCTCAAAACTACCTACTTTTGACAGTACCCCAAGATCTCAAATTTAAATGCAACTTCAATTTGTTACAGAACACAGAATGATATTTTAATTATTTTAATTATTTTAATTATCTTATTTAAATACATTGTGATTTGACGGAATAACCAAATAATTTAATTTTAATTTAATAAGTCACAATATGACGCAACTACACTATCTTAAGAATACAAGGAATATTCCTTAACTCTCTAATGGTTTGATTCGCTGTCTAGTCTAGTAAATGTTTGCCTACATTTCAGAGGTGTTTACTGCTTCCATCATCAGGACAATTCCACCAATGCACCTCTGAAACGTCTGTAAACTTCTACCAGACTAAAAAAACGACGCAATAACCCAGAAGACAAGTCATATTTGTACTCACGCCATGAAATTTGTAGATAAAATAATCCAAAAACTGTTTTATTCTTCATCATCCGAGCGGTTATCACCGATTATTCATATTCAGAAGTCACCGGGTTCAAAACTCGAAATAGAAGCGGTTTATTCTGATTTCAGTTTCTAATGATTTTCACCAGTCCCTCCAGTCAAATTCCGTAATGTTACCCCAAGTCAGACACGACCGTTTCCTTCCATGCCCCTCCCAATTCATTAATCGAAGCTACAGGCCTATAGCAGGAGTTAATGCCAGCGTATCAGACAACAGGATAGAGTATCTCTTTGATGTTAAAGAAT